GCCGACGGGCGGCCGACGGGCAAAAGAGTGACGACTCTTCTTGATTGAAACCAACGTGCGGATATCTACAACAGCAATATGGATTCTACAACAGCACTATGGATTTCTACAACAGCACTATTGATCAGAGCTAGTGTTTGTGCTTGTCGAGTAAGTCCATTGTATGGAATTACATGTGTACGATATTGCATAGTATGGATTTCCTGATCGGCATTGATTTATTGATTTTCGATTGATTTATTGATTTATTGATGGATTTATTGTATCGTACGATTTCATTGATTTCATCGATTGATCATTGAGCATTGATACTATTGATTATTGATTATTGATTATTGATATTGATATGGACATGAACGGCATGGATTTATAGATTCATTGATACTATTGATTCTGCATTGATTTGACTTGCTACTATTGATCTATCGTATTGTTTTTCCGATTGATTTTATCGACTCGATTTATGGTACGGATTATGGATTATGGATATGAATTCTGCGTATTGATTCATAGATATTGACACTGATATTGATATTGATATAGATTGTACCAATTGATAGATACCGACATCGACATTGATATGGATATGATCTTGACATATGGATACTATTGATACTACAGATCCTGACATGCTATTGATACATTGATATATTGATTCGTCGTACTGATTATCGATTGATTGATTGAATTGATTGTTGCCGTATGGATTTGATTTATCGTAGAATAGATTTCTTTATGGAGCTGATTGTATTGATTTCTATTGACCTGATGATTTCATTGTATGGATTTGTTTTAATTGATTTATTGAGTTGATTCGATTGTGTTATGGATTGCCCTGCTGAGAGATATATTTGACTCGAAAGTGCTCTATTGATTGAGATGATTTCCCTATTATAGCATCGTATGTCATCATTATTAAATTTCGTCGTGTCATTGAATATTGTATATTGATATCGAGTAAATCGTATTGAATAATTGGATTGACTGATTTGCAAGAGTACGTTCTGACACGAGGCCCTTATTGAATGAATTGAGGCTATTGATTGCTATTAATTGACACAAACATCCTATTGATTATAGCTACAACGAATTGACTAGACGACACGATTGATTGAACTGATAGTATTGATTGATAGACACTGCTACGATGGATAGATATTGGCTTCCAGTCACTTACTGATTTAATTGCTGAGGCGTATTGATTTATCGATGTTTTTACCGCTGTATTGATTATTAATTTCCGTACTGCATTGTCTATTGATTTGATTTCCGCTGTACAGACTTAATTTCATTGACTATGAATTTCCGCATTGCATAGACTCATTGACCCTTGATTGACTTGATTTGATTGACCTGCATATTGATAGCATTGCCGTGCTTTGATTTCAATTGTAGGCTTTGGTGACCTGCTGGGCTTTGTAAGCTCATTATATGTGTTTAAAATTTTCAGGTCTGAGCAAGGCAACTGGAATGGAGTTCGATCAAAATGTCAGACGAATTCTTTCACTATTGATTTCTGGGGCATCACAGAGAGAAAGGGAGAGAGAGAGGAGCAATTATTACATCTGGTCAACCAAACGCGTTCAGAGGCCAATAACTACGTGCCACGTCACCAAAAACTCGGTATTGAGCAATCGGTATTGCTTGGTATACATTCCGACCGTTCGG